CACATGCTATAATTATAACAAATATTACTCCTATATTATCATATACTGATAATTGTGATTAAAACATTGGGGAATTTTCTTGCTTATTTTGGTCTTAGAATTTTGAAAGAACTTGTGTTAAGTATAGCCCAAAGATAAATACACCACAAAATTTTCATTTGCTAATTTCTTCCCCTAATGTGGAAGTGTGAATTGAATGCCATTAGGCCCACATATTCACCATATCTTTTTTTTTTGTGGTGGCCCATTGGGATATGAGCTGAGTGACATATTTTCAACGGGCAAGGTTCCCATGACATTGGTTATGGGATGACCCGGGGGCGCCCCGGTACCCCGTTTGTAAAATTGACGATTCCTACCCCTCCTAACCCCCCGGTAAACCCCCCCACCCCGCCCCGACCCGAACACACCCCTCTACCCCTTTCAATTGCACCTAACAAGTTGATTTTGACTTTGGGGTCAAATTTTGACTCCAAAGTCAAAATCAACTTGTGGGAAGCAATTGAAGGGGGTGGGGGGCTGTGTTCGGGTCGGGGCGGGGTGGGGGGAGGTTTAACGGGGTAGGAACCGTCAATTTTACGAACGAGGCACCGGAGCGCTCCCGGGTCATCCCATGACATTGGTTCTCAATGTCATGGGAACCTTGGTGTTTTCAAGGTTATAACTTATACCCGGAGTAAGTTGGAAGTATTAGCAATAATAATTCAATTAATAATTAAGACCCTGTTCATTTAGATTGAAATTCAGAATTAAATGTAGAAGAAATTGAAAAGAATTGGAAGAAACTGAAAAGATTGGAAAGTATTAAAATAATTTAAGCATTAAAAAGTTACTTAATTAAATGATCACCTCAATAAATATGTTAGAAACTACAATTTTAGATAAAAAAATCATTTTGTCCATGTTTGAGGTATATTTTATAAATTTGGATATATAATGATATTGTATATTCATCATTTACAAATACCTTTTTAAGTCGTAGGAAAAAAACTGGAAGAAGTTGAAAAAAAACAGGAAAGAGTAAAACAAATGAAAGTTTATTTTTCCAACTCAAAATAATATGACCTAAATGTAATTATTACGAGTATATTAGTCTTACCATTAGTGGCATATATTCTTACTTAAATGTTTCATTGTGGGTGTCAAGAAGTGAGAGGTATATACTCCGTATTATTTTGCTTCTTGCTTAAAGTTGATGGTTTATTTTTCTGTGTGAGACAACACATGTGTATATCAAAAGTTCCAAAGTTGTTGGCACATATTTTAGCTATAAAATATCATTTTTTTTATTTTTCGTGCAAAAAGAAATAAAATGTTTAATTTGTGACGAAAAAATTGTGAATGAAGATTTTTTCTACATAGTACTAAAACATAGAAGTTCTCAATGTACTAGCATAATTTTTACTTTTTCAATGTAGTATCACTATTCAATGTCTACTGGACATTATTTACGTAAATGTACACCGCTACTGGACATGGAGAATTTTTCTATATAGTATTAAAATATAGTGAATTTCTCAATGTAGTAGCATAAGTTTTAATTTTCAAATGCGATATCATTATTCATTATCCACTGGACATTGGTTAAGTAAATTACTACCGCTACTGGATATTGTTCTAATTAGGAATAATTAGGTACTACATTATACGGAGTATAAGGAAAAAGCAGACTTCCTCTGTTCCGCAAAAGATTTCCTGTTTTGACTTTTGGGAGGATAAACTGTAGAAGTTTGATCAATATAAAATGATGACAAATGAAACAAGTAGAACTCGAGAATTGTCAAAATTTGTAGGGCTTAGAAAATAGTTGTGGTAAGTTTGATTAGATTTAAGAAAAATAAATACAATTGTATCCATTAGGCCAAATTGGAATATTTTATGAGAAGATATGAAAGTTGAAAAATTTTACGGGACAGAAGAAATATATTTTTGTATTATTTAGTGCAACGTTTACATTATGAATTGTGTTCAATGAGAATCCAATATCCACTTAAAAAACGGAAGCAATGTTTCTTGTCACTCAATATTTACAAATACTTCATGATAGTTTTTGTGATACAGCCAAATGTTAAATATATAAACTCTCTCCATCTTGAATTGGATGTCACTGTCACTATTACCATTTCTCAATAACTTTTGTTTATTTGTATATTTTATTAATAGTTTGATAAAATAAAATATTATTGTCACATCTTTTATAGAGTTTTTATGTCCTTTTAAATAATGTTGTTATTATGCTTCTTATTTTTATACTAATTTGTAATTAAAATGATTTTAAATATAATGAGATTTTACATAGAGTATAATTAATACTCCCTTCGTTCTCAAAAATTCTTCCTCTTTTATTTTTTTCATTTCCAACAAAACACTTCCACTTTTTATTAAAAACCCACTTTTACCCTTACTTTTTCATACTCTATCTATCACATCATACTTTTTCTCTAATACTCAATCCATCACATCTTACTTTTACTCATCGCATCAAGGACAAAATTGGAAGCCAACTACAATTTAACACTTCCTTATTTTTACACAAAGTCAAAATAGAAAAACTTTTATGGAACGGAGGGAATATACGAGAATGATGAGAACCATATAATTTGCCATAGTTAGTTATAATGTCAATGTCTTGTGTGGAAGAGGACATAGTATTAGAAGCCAATTTTGATGTCCCACAAGAAGCTGGCATTGATTTATAGACGGCCATGTGCGCATAGTATCAGAAATCTATTATTTGTAACAGTTATTTGTGTGCACCGGGCACGGAACGACCTCTCTAAAGACTATATAGATCCCTCTCACAATTATGTCGGGACAGAGTGTGAGAGTACTCGAGATGAGCGTTCCATCTTTAAAATATGAAAAAAAAATCTGAGTTTAAAACATACTCGGTATCTGAAGATTTTAAAGAAAACATAGAAAAAGTACCAAAATAAGAGTTCTATATTTTTATCGATAAAATAAGAGTTTGTACGGTGATATTGTTACACTATATATGAACATTTTACAATACTTTTTGGTATTATATATTGGCATGATTAACATTGTATATTGCATTTTAACTCTTATTTTGTGAATAAAAATATAAAATTGTTATCCATGTAAATATTCCTTCCCTCCCCATATGAAATATCTCTATTCATTATTTACACAATCAAATTTTTTTCATATTATTTGTTTATTTTCACTACTCATACACTCCGTATTGATAATCATAACACCTCTTATTTTATAAAATTTTTCACAACGGTTCTTTTGACTTGAGCTATTTTAACTTTAGAATGACACGAGACCTCTATAATATTCAATCTCCTCCCCCTCCAAGATCGTTGATTTGCCCTTTGGCAATCTAAGGGGCAGGAGTTGGAGTGGGGTGCAGGTGGTTGGAACCATCGATTTTTCCAAAGAAGCACCGTAGGTGCTCCAAAATGACAAGTTCATTTCAGGTCACTTTTGACCAAGGTCAAAAGATCTTGTAATTTTTAAACATATAAATTTTATTTTTAATACGATAATAATCAAATAAATTGAACTAGAAATAACTCTACTCAGTTCTAGTAAACCAAAAAGATAAATTTGAGATGAGATTTTTTGAAACAAAAAAAAAGTTGTTTAGTTGTTTTCAAACTTCTCAATAAAGCTTTAGTGAGTGGCCATTAATAACTTGACAACGCAGAGAGTACTAATGAGTAAAAGGCAGTGGTGACCCGTGGGAGGCAAGATGNCCCCCCCCCCCCTTTAAACAAAATGTTAGGCCTATTAAACAAAGAGAATAAATAAAGAAACAAAATGCAAAATACAAAATTTTTTAATATCATATTTCATAAATGAAAAAGTGTAAAAATATGCGATTGAAATATAAATTTAAAACCTACTTAGAATTAAGAAAATTTGTATTGAAATTACAAATATACACAATTATTTTTTGTAGCAATTAGTTTACAAAAATTCTTGTTAAATTTAAAAGATCACATGACAATGTTATTGTTGTTGTTATGTTATCACTCTCTCCGTTCTAAAATGATCTTCTAAGTTTAATCACTTTCTTTACTTATTTTCATTAGTTACTCCGTATTTGATAGAATAATATAATCATGTCACTTCTTGTTTTGTAGAATTTTTGATATGTTTTAAAATATAAAATTTTTATTTTTAAATTTTACACCTATAATCAAATACATTGAAAATAGTTTCAATCAAGCATCGTAAATTAAATGAGAAGGTCACATATTACAATGCCCAAAAAAACCTTTATTCTCTAAGGCCCTAAAGTTATAGGACCGGTCCTAGTGAAAGGTAAACTTTCACTGACCAATTATATCCTTCTACTTCAGCTACTTGAGCTTCATAATTGATTTGCAAAAGTACAACTTCACTATACAGACTTCACATCTTTATTTACTCCCTATTTATTTTGGATCATGACAATGCTATACCCCTTCCATCCTAAATTATAATTTGCATTTCATTTTTTATGGAATTTTAGAAAAACTAAAATTATATAATTGAAATTTGTGTAGAGAAAAAGAAATAATATGATTCACTCATTGTTTACTTTTTTTGGACATATATAAAAGCCCAAAAAGTTTATTTGGGGACAGAAGAAGTATTATTTTATCAAACGAGTAATAAAAAATAAACAAAGAATGTGGTCCAAGTTCAACACTTTAAATAGCGACGAGATAGAATGACCCATTCGGTAGTTTTTCTTTAGAAGGTGTAGACTTCGAGTCACGACTAGATTAGCTATTTGGCCAGATCAATTGCAATTTTTTCATTTTCCAGCGGCAATGTGGGAGCTCGGATATACTGTGTGGTAACTGAGGCCTACGTAAGAACTCGGGGGACAAAAGAGTCCGAATTTACCTCACCTAACGTTCCTGGGGCAGGGTGTAAGGGATTAGCCCGACGCAAGTTGGAAAACGTAATGTATCGAGAAAAATCCGACACCAACTACATCAAATAATGTCCATACAGCTGAGACAAAACATATTGTACCACACACACATTACAAATAATGAGAGTGACAGCTCCTTAATTTCCTTCAATAAAATGGAGAGGAAAGATGACTGACCATTTCACAGAGTATATTATGTATGTAGTGTAATACATAGCAGGCAGCAGCTTCCAATACTCCTCCAATTTGTCAAGCAGCAATGGAAGTTCTGCCCCTCCTGCTGATGATGTTACCTCTCTTGGTGTCATCTGGCAACTATAATTATAATAATAATATTAATATTAATATTAAGAATAATAATAATAATAATATTAATAATGTAATAGAGAACTTAAAGAATCATTCTTCTTCCCCATTTCCACCCAACTTCATCTTTGCAACTTCTTCCTCTGCTTATCAGGTTTCTCTCCATACACTCTTCTCTAATTTTTCTTCCTTTTTTTTGTTGGTACGAGGGACAAATCTCACTCCCTATTGACTAAGATTAAAGTTTCATTAACCGTCAGGGCCGGTCCTCGGGCCCGAAAGCATCCCCGCACCCCCTCTAACTGAACCACTCAAATTTTTGTTGACTTAGGCCCCATTCCGTTCAACTTATTTTTTCTTATTCTTATTAAAATCAGATTAGATCAGATCAGATCGAATCAGATCAGATCAGATGAGATCGAATCAGATCAGATCAGATCTCATCAAGAATTATTATTATTATTATTATTATGAATGAAAAAGAATAAAATTTAGAAACAAGTTAAATAGATACATTGACAATGTCAATCTAATTCTACTTTTAAAATATATTTTTATTTCCACTTGTAATTTGAGTTTCTAAAGTTTTGATCTTTTATAAGGATGAGATATTTTAATAAAAATACTATCTCTTCTATATATTGATTATCTAAATTTAATTACTTTTTAATGTATATATAAATTAAATATTTATTTTAATGTATATATGAAGTAATTATTAAAATATTAAATTAATATTCTAATTTCAAAAAAAATAATCATAAAATAAAAAATATTATAACATTATAGTATGAATGATTATTCTAATATATGATTTAACTAATTTTATTTTATTAAAAAATAATCATAAAATAAAAAATATTGATTATATTATAATATGAATTATCATTACAATTTTCAAACGTTATTATAAAGTCAAATCAAATTATTGATTTGAATTTTAAATCAAATCATAATTAATCAGATCAGATCCAATCAGATCAGACCAGATCAGAACTTATTAAAATCAGATCAGAAAAAAAAAGTTCAATGGAACGGAGTCTTAGAGTCAAAATTTGTGTGGTGCAATTGGAGGAGGTGTGTTAAGGCCGGGCCGGGTTGGGGGTTTACCATGGAAGTTAGGGGTAGGACCAATCAATTTTATGATCTTACACCAACAAGTTCGTGTAAAGTTACCCTGCCTCATTAATTAATTAAAATTTCACCTTGGCCACATTTTATTATTTGAATACTTATTTTCACCACCTTCTTTGGGACTTCTTCCTCTTCTCTTATAAGGTTACCCTATTCTCTCCTTTCTTGTTTCTTCATTTTTCATAGCTTGCTCTTTCTTCTTATAAGCAAACTAGCAAAGTGGAAATGACATGCCTTTTTTATTTTTTATTTTTTTAAAAATAAATATTCATCTTATTGTCCACATTTTAAAGCATCACATTTATACTTTTAAAAATGACAGAAGATATTTTGAGAATTCTACAATGATTAACGTTGATCCTGCAAATATATTCTTTTAATTTCTTTATTTTTAATCTCCTTCTTGTTTCACCAATTACTGCACTATTTATCCCTGCCTCAAGGTACACTGCAAGTGAAAATCAAAGATAAAAACTTTGTTAATGACAATTTACTTTTGTTTTCTTAATGTAAATGTAACAATATAATCTTTGGTGCAGTATGAAGGGGCATATTTGAGTGATGGTAGAAGTCTAAGCAACTGGGATGTTTATGCCCACACACCAGGTCAGTCTTTCAATCATCAAAGTTGATTTAAAAAGTGATAAACCATGTTTAGAAGAGGGAAAATCCCATCCTACAATATGTCAATGAACATTATGAGATCACAATAGAGTGCAAATGCATATTCATAACCAAACATGTATGTATAAGAACGATACATATAACTCTCAAATGAGCCTCGTCACATGATTAAATCATACGAAGCATTTTTAGCTCATTTAGTAATAAAAAGAATCTGATAAAATTAAGCGTTGCAGGAAACATTGCGGATGGAAGCACGGGAGATGTTGCAGTTGATCAATACCATCGGTATGAGGTATCATCATTCCTGTTGTATATCGGGTTAAGGATCTAATAAGAACGGACAATTAGAAAAGAAATGAGAGTTGTTGAGGATACAATCCGACATCGAACACGCAATCCAAAAAAAGACTAGAATATAACAAAATGAGTAATTTCTCTCATTGCCAATTGGTTTTGTGTTGGAAATTGGAATCTCACAATTCTACATGATATCAAAGTCAAGGCTTAAGAGCTCAAAAAAGAAGCTCGTGTTTATTCGAGCGAGTGACAACTTGAGGCAAAAGACCAAGTTGCCCTTCAGGGGATGTTGAAGACATTGTCTCACATCCTAACCCGGGCTTAATAATAATAATAATAATAATACTCCGTATATAATCATATGAGTTACTCATCTCATAGGCAATTAGTTTTGGCATGAAATTGTTAGGATCACAACAAATTCACACACAGCTTTGCAAAAACTATAACATGCACTTGATTTGTAACCTCAGTTTTGTGTACTTACTTATTGAAAATAGGAAGATGCAGAACTAATGGCATCTCTTGGAATCACTGGCCACAAGATCTCAATTTCATGGTCTCGCGTTCTTCCGAGTTAGAACCATACAATCCCTCTACTTATCTGCCTGGGAAAAAATAATACTACGTAACAATAACTGAACCTCTGAATCATAATCACTCAATATTACTTAATAATAACAATAATCCAGATGGAAGACATGGAGATATTAATTGGGAAGGGATCCGCTTCTACAAAAAATTAATAAATGCCCTCTTATCTAAAGGTTAGATCTCGTTCCATTGATAGTGGCAAGGCAAGTATATGTTCATAATTGATCATGATTTACTTCAAGCATTAATACACTTTTTTGTTTGGCATGTGATAGGAATCGAACCCTTTGTAGCAATAAATCATTATGATCTCCCCCAAGTATTCGAGGACAACTACCGAGGTTGGCTAGGCACTGAGATGGTGTAAGTTGTTTTATTATTAGTTTCCTAATCATAAACATCATGCTATAGAGAGAATAATATTCAGTGAATGTTCCACATTCATGTTGGCTATGCAATCTACTAATTGTATAAATTAGTGTAAATTCCTTGTAGCAATTTGGTGTGGAAGTTAATATGCCTACAATGTTGGATGGCTTGATTTCAGGGAAGAATACGCATATCTTGCAAACGTTTGCTTTAAGAATCTTGGTGATCGCGTGAAGTACTGGATGACCTTCAACGAGCCAAATGAATGGATACTTTTGAGTTACCAACAGGGAATTTGGCCACCCAATCGTTGTCTAGAAGGTTCAGAAAACTGTACTCAAGGAGGTAGTGAGAATGAAACATTCATTGCAGGCCACAACCTAATCCTAGCCCATGCTTCGGCCGTCAATATTTACAGGAAAAATTATCAGGTACGAAAACGTACAAAACATCGTTTCAAGGACAAGTTTGGAAGCATTGTAGCAAATACTTCCTCCCTCTCAAAGCAAAAATATGTGATTGATTTAAGTATTTTACTGTGGGAGGGTACAAAAATACTATATGAGCCTATAAAATTATTTAATTAATGCATGCAGAAAGAGCAAGGAGGTCAAATAGGAATTGCATTAGACTTCTACTGGTATGAACCAATAAGCAACTCCACAGCAGACAAAGCAGCAGCTGAGAGAGGCCAAGCCTTCATAGTACACTGGTAAAGTTTCCATAACATCAGTGTGAAAATGCATGATGATGATGATGATGATGATGGCAGCATATAAATACCATCTTTTGAACTCTTTTTGGATCGGAACTTCAAAATATATGTTCAAGATATAATCCCACATCGAACAGTCAGGCTAAGAAAAAAGACTAATATATAAGAATATGAGTTACTCCTCTCGTTTGCCAATTGGTTTTGGGTAACTTACAGGTTCTTGGAACCAATCATGCACGGGACATATCCTAAAGTAATGAAGGATATTTTGGGGCCGCTTTTACCGGAATTTTCAAGCTCGGATTTGGAAATACTGAAAGACGGGTTGGACTTCATCGGGATCAACCACTACAATACCTTTTACGCCCAAGACTGTCTGTTGTCTGCGTGTGAATCTTCCGTGTTGGGGAACACAAGAGTAGAGGGTTTTGTTGGGCGAACTTTGTCAAAGGATGGTGTTCTTATTGGGGAGCCGGTAATCACCCATCTCCATTACATGAAAGCATTATTACTATTGTTATTACTCGAGAAATTAATGAACTGTGGAAACATATCATGTCTATTGGCTTTTGTAGACAGGTTTGCCTACTATGAGTATTTATCCACCAGCAATGGAGAAATTAGTTACTTACGTGAAAGAAAGATACCCAAAAATGCCAGTTTTTATAACAGAAAACGGTAGGACTGTCATTTCCTTCAGTGCTATAGTTTTGTTTTTTTTGTTGTATTTAGCTTGAACGAAAAAAAATGGCACAATTTCACAGGTTACTGTGACCTCACCGATTCTAACTCTAGCATTGAAGAAATAATGAATGACACGAAGCGGGTCGAGTACTTGACCAGTTATCTACGCTCGTTGGGTACTGCCATTAGGTATAGTAATACTCCGTAATAAATTACTAAAAATAATAATAGTAATAAGTCACAGTTTACTCATTATTGATTTTTCATGTACATAAACAGGAAAGGAGCAGATGTGAGGGGATATTTTCTTTGGTCGTTGTTGGATAACTTCGAGTGGACTTTCGGGTACTCGAGGAGGATGGGGCTTTACAGTGTTGACCGTGTCACGCTAGAGAGGACCCCAAAATTATCAGCATATTGGTACAAACAGTTCATTGCAGAAAACAAGGGGGTTGGAGGCAAAATGCAGAAGTAATATTAGTGAAATGTGTGCTATTATGTCTTCCTATTCTTCAACACTTAAAGGTTTTTGGCTTTCATTTGAGAAATGGTGATGTAAGCTTGCTTAAGTTGTAGTAAAATCAATAAATATATTTGCTTCATAAATAAGAGGGTTCTTTTGAGTGGTGTATCCTGGAATTTGGTAGTTCAAGTTTTTGTAACATAAAAATTATGATTTTTAGCCAAGATCTATTTCAACATTATCTAAGGGTCCGTTTGGTACACGGAATTGATGGAATTGGAATTGAATTGAGAGTTGAAATTCTATGGAATTGGTTTGGATGGAATTGAATTCTTCAATTCCAATTCATTTTTAGCCCTCCCAATTCCAAATCTACATATTTTTGTGCTACCATATACCAGAATTGGAATTGTTGTTTGCAATTCCAATTCGATAGTTTGAATTCAGTGTACCAAGCAAAGCCTAAATCTATTTCTATATGAGTACGACTACGTAAACTTGAACTGCAAAAGTAAGCTATTTTTGGACGTGAAATAACTCTCCATAACCGAACAAATTAACATATTTTAAAGAAATCACAAACATATGAGCTCCATATTTTTATCATCAAAATATGAGTATGTAATGTAAAAATTCGGCATTGTATATTGGGATTCCAGTGTTTTTTGGTACTATATGTTGACATTGTGACTCTTATTTTGGTTTGGGAATAAAAACATGAATCTCTCATATTTTGGTACTTTCTCTTTATTTTATTCCTAGTTTAGTCCTTTTTTCCATATTTTACCAAATTAAACATAAATTAGGCAATCAATTGTCAATTACACGGATTAAACAATTCATTAATTATACAATTTAGACACATGCAAAACTTTCATTTGGCAAATCAAATGAAAAAAATTGCCAAATCAATACTAATATTAATAATAACAACAACAACAACAATAATAATAATAATAAAATCCAGAAACTACCCAATTCATAAAAAAACATAAAGATCTACCCCAAATCCCAAATGAAATAGAAACAATTGGTAAAATACACATTTACGCAATCAAGAATACCAAATTAAATATTAAATTGGAGGGAAAAGGTGCTGGAAGGATAGGTATGGTGTACTAAAGTACTCCGCATTTACCTTGGAGAGTTGGAATTCGGAAATGGAGGCTGGAAATTTGGATTCGTTTACTGCAGTCGCCGGTCTCCGGTCCGGGTCGATTGCGGGTGAAAAAGGTAAAAGATTATTGTAGCTATTGACAATTTGACACGCGATTTACCAAGTTTGACCCCATTTTTACCTCAATGCGCTTACAAAACCCACAACAATATCAAACCAATAAACTTTTCCTCCTATGTCCCGGACTATTTGTCAATTTTAACTTTTTTTTTATCAAAATTGATAAATTTAAATTTCAAATTAAATAAAATGATACTCCCTCCGTCCCCAATTTGATACAAATTGCGGGTTACGGAGTAAAAATTTTTACTTTTTGAAATCATTTTGTTTACAAATTAGTATATCAATAAGATATAAAAATTATATATTAAAAAATATAAAAAACAAGTCGAGACAAGAATATTTTATTTTATCAAAATAAAATCGTGTAAACAAACAAAAGTTATCGAGAGGAGAGAAAAAAAGTGTAATCTATTTAAGGATAGAGGGAGTATTAGATATTGACACAAAAATAATTCTATAAGATATACGGAGTATTGTATATAATATTTTCAAAATATCATTTTATCTAATTAAAATACAATATATATTTTAATTAATTATAAGTCAAAGGTTGAAAATAGTTGACTGAAAAAAAATCAAAACTGAACAAATACACTGAGACCGAAGTAGTATTTTGTCTATCGCTCGTGCTTTAACTTAGACACCTCGTTCTCCTCTGAAATTAAACATGTCAAGACTTCCATGTGTGTATTACGCAGCTGGCAGCCTAAAACCATATCCGACCCACTATTGTTTCTAATACATAAACATGTTTATTGACACATTACGGGGATCAAACTGTTTCTTACAATAAGCCATTATGATCATCCTCAAGAACTGAAGAACAAACATAAAGATGGTTGAGCTCCGAATGCGATAAGTTGTTTTGTTTCTAATATGATAACATATCATGCTAGATTCATAGTCAAAACATTATAGTTTAGAAATATACTCTATATGACTTACAAAACACACTCATTTGTGAACTCTTACATGCACCTCCTCAGACATTATTCTATGAGATTTTACTAAATTTCTATATTAAATAAGAAAGAGTAATCCAATAATGGCTTATAACTTGGTTAGTGTCTTAATACTAGTCCGTATATGTTATGATTTCAAAGAAAACATGCGCATCTTGCAGAGGTTTGCTTCAAATATCTGAGTGATGGTTTTATGTGCTGAGTTACTCTCAACGAGCCCAATATGTTACCTATTTTGGGGTTACCGACAGGGAAATTGGTGATCTAATCAATATCTACAACGACTAGAGAAATGTGTTCATCTGGAGTGAATAAGCCATTTATTGTTGCTCACAACCCGATCATAGCCCATGCTTGTGCTGTCTATCAATATTTACAGAAAATATAATCATGTGCCAAAGACATTGTAGTTTAATCCCACCGTTATGGTTCTCCCAAATGAGAGGTCACGTGTTCGGTTCCCAGTGCGGGCAGTAACTCTACGAGCTTTGATAGGTTGAGAATGTATGAAGAGATACTACATTGTAATAGACTTATTAGATAGAATGAGCTTAGCATGTTGGGTACATTGCGCCAACTTGCAATATACCTATCATGAGCCTCTAGTATCTTCGTTTCCCTTTATAAATAGAGGCAATGCAAAAAAATTACATTAAGAAAATAATGACATCAACTCCAGAAGGATCAAGAATTGATGTACAGATCAACAGATCCCTTCTTATAACTTTATAAGGTTCCAATAAACTCGATATTAGAGATGAACAAATACCGAATTGATTCTTAAATTTTCCGACGAGCTTGAGAAATATACCAAGTATCAAGAAGCATTTAAAATATTACTCTCTTTGTTCTAAAACTAACCCCCGTTACATTTTACGATGTTTGACTAAATTTGTGTTTTAATTTATTGGAAAATTAGTATTGAATTCAGAAATAATATTTATATATTTAAAACAACATAAAAAGATGTACGGATTGAAAAGTGATATGGTTATATTTTTGTATCAGATAAACAATAAAAATAGATAAAATTTGACCTAAATAATGAACGAGAATTACGTGGCCAAACAATTTCTCTCTCGTCCCACCAAATTCTAACAAATTGTTCTCACTTTCTAAAAATACACGAAGACGGGAAAATGTAGCATTACTCTTTTCATGCTTCTGGAAATGGAAAAAGAAAGAAAAAATCCCAAATTACACAGAGACGGGAACGGCGGGTCAAACGGTACAAAGCAATCCTAAATTTTTTTTCTACAGCGTAGATTTCACCCACCAAGAATTCGACTGTGAACAGTTTCCAACACTCCCAAATTATATTCAAATGGGATGATAGAGTGTCACTGGGAAACCACAAGAATCCTCCAAGAGTAATAAAAACACTTTCAGAAAAATAAATAAATAAATTTAATGGCGATTAGCAAAAATGCTGAATCTGGGCAAGTTCTTCTTCTTCTTCTTCTGCTGCTGCTGCTCATAGTTTTACCTCTCTTGGCGTCATCTCGCAGCTATAATTCAAACAATAATAATAATAATAATAATGTTCTGACAGAGAACTTGAAGGAAATTTCTTCTTCTTCTTCTTCTTCTTCCCCATTTCCACCAAACTTCTTCTTTGGGACATCTTCCTCTGCTTATCAGGTTTCTCTATTTTCTCCTCTAATTTTCTTCTTTTTTTTACCTCTACTTATTATGATTATTGTGGTTATTTGTTTGCTGTTTTTTTAACTATTATTACCTGCTGATGAAGAGCAGAGAATCAACGGGTGGCTCGTTGTTGTTGTTGTGGCTGGTGTTATGATTAGGGATTTGGAAATGCTAAAACTTTAAATTAGGTTTTGTTTCTGTAGTTGTCCTAATTATTTCTTTCAATCTCTCTTTTTTTTGGATCTGCTACTGTTATTAAAAAGTCAGAATTTTGTTTATGACCTTTTTCTTTATAGGATAGAATAATGTTTTTTCACTTGAGGATTCTTGACACTATGTTTGGTTCAAGAATTTGGGTGGAAAAGAAGAGAAAATGATTTTCTCTCATTTTCCTCAACCAAAATGTGAGAAATTTTGTTTTCCCTTTTCATTTCAAGAAAAATTGATTTAACCCAACATAGGGTGAATCTTTGATGCAGTATGAAGGGGCATATGGTAGAGGTATAAGCAACTGGGATGTTTTAACCCAAACACCAGGTGATTCTCTCAGCCTTTAATAGCATTAAGCTCTTTGTTTTTTTTACTGTGCATTCTTATTAGAGAAAAATGTTAAGGTCCAGTTTGGCAACCGGTCAAACAGGACAGAATTGTTTGGTAATTTGTTTCTGTCTGATTCTTCTAAGAATTTGTTTTGACAAAATTGCTAAAGTACCTATAAGTCTAGTACAATAGATTCTAACCATTTTGCTCATTTTCATTGATTAATAAATTTACAACTTTAATATGAATTGAAAGCTTTAGTCGATTAGTATTCCCTAACATAATTGTGTCTGTAAAACCATACGGAATATAAAGAATGCTTAAATGTTACAGGAGGCATTATAGATGGAAGCAATGGAGATGTTGCTGATGATGAATACCATCTGTATCAGGTACCAATGCATCACTATATTACTGTGTTTGTTGTTATATGCGTAATCACAAGGGTTCTTTTGACACCCAACCCTAATGTCATAATATGACAGCATGCCACCTGGTCTATTTGGGGTCCTACATTACTTTATTGGGCCGGCTTCCAAATGGACCAGGCATCATATTATGACATTGGGGTTGGGTGGAAAAAGAACCGGGTTCGTGCCTAATATAAGTATATAACCAATATTGTAATGGGACAAATAAGCTATACTAACCCAATGACAGTTATTATCCACTAATGAGCTAAATTTAAACAACCCCCATCTTCATTTTTGTGTCTTTGTCCTTGAAAATAGGAAGACGTGGAACTATTGGCATCTCTCGGAGTTAACAGTCACAAGATTTCAATCTCATGGTCTCGCGTCCTGCCAAGTTAGTCTTAATCTGTTCACATC